GTGGTAATGAGGGTTGATCTGTTATATATGGCTTTTATTGTTTTAAAGAATGCTCCTTCTATGCCTAGTTTCTCCAGAGCTTTAAACATGAATGGATGGTTTATTATGCAGAAGGGTGTTTCTACATCTATTGAGGTGATCATGTGGTTCTTGTTCTTGGCTCCGTTGACAGGTTGAATTACATTTATTGATTTGCGTATTTTAAACTAGCCTTTTATCTGTGGGATAAAGCCTGCTTGGTCATAATGTTTGATGTTTTATTTGTTTCCGGATTCTGTTGGCTAATATTTTATTGAGGAATTTTGCATCTGTTTTTGTCAGAAAAATTGGTCTGCAGTTCTCTTTTTTGGTTGGATCCTTTCCTGGTTTGGGGATGAGTGTGATGCTGGCTTCATAGAATGAGTTTGGGATTGCTCTATCTGCTTCTATTTCATTGAAAAGCTTGAGGAGTATTGGTATTAGTTCTTCTTTAAAAGTCTTATAGAATTCTGGTTTAGGAATGTGGCTTAGTGGTAAAGTGCTTGCCTAGCATGCATGGGTTCTATTCCTCATTACCACATAAACAGAAAAGGCCAGAAGTGGCACTAAGGCTCACGTGGTAGAGTGCTAGCCTTGAGCAAAAGAAGCTCAGGGACAATGCCCAGGCCCTGAGTTTAAGCCCCAGGACTGGCAAAAAGAAAAGAGAAGTCATAAAATTCTGTGGTGAATCCATTTGGGCCTGGGCTTTTCCCTGTTGGAAGAATTCTGATTACTTCTGCTATCTCATTGAATATTCTTGGTTTATTTAGTTGACTTATATCTTCATGGTTCTGTTTGGGCAGTTTGTATGTTTCTAGAAATATGTCCATTTCTGCTGCTTTCCTTCTTTAGTGAGTATAAATTTTGGAAGTAGCTCTTTATAATCATTTGGATTTCTTGGATGTTTGTTATAATTTTTTCTGTGGCATCTCTGATCTTATTAATCTCTTTTTTTATAAATCTTGCAGTGTTCTGTAAATTTTATTAATTTTTTTCAAAAAACTGCTTTTGTTTCATTGACTTTATGTATAGTTTCTTAAATTTCTATCTCATTGATTTCTGCCCTAATCTTTGCTCTCTCTCTCTGTCTAGTAGCATTACATTTAATTTTTTTCTTGCGTCTCTAGCAGTTTTAATTGCATTATGAGGTTATTTGCTTGAGCTATTTGTTTTCTTTATGTGTGCACTTAGGGCTATGAACTTTCCTCTTGGCATTGCTTTTGCTATATCCTAGAGGTTCCATTGTGATGTGTTTTCATTTTCATTGAGTTGTAAAAACTTTCTAATGTCTTCCTTAATTTCTTCTGTGACCCAGGTGTTATTCAGTAGTGTGTTGGGCAGACTCCATATATTTGAATAATTTCTACAGTATGTTTTGCTGTTAAGAACTAGTTTGATTCTACTGTGGTCAGATAGGATTCAAAGGATTATGTCAATCCTCATGCTTAGGCTTCATGTGAACTTTGATATGATCTATTTTGTAGAACGTTCCTATGGGATACTGAGAAGAAGGTGTGTTGGGTTGTTGTTGGGTAGAACATTCTAGATGTCTGTTAAGTCCTTTTGGATACGGGGTCATTTCGTTCAGAAGCTTCTTTGCTTATCTTTTGGTTGGTTGTCCTGTGCTGTTTTTGAGAGTGAGGTGTTAAACTGTTACTGTGTTTGGGTCTGTCTTGTTCTGTAGACCAGAGAGTATTTGCTTAACATATTTAGCTGCTCCATTGTTTGGTGCAGGGATCCTTCCCTTTATTACTATGTGATGACCTTCCTTGTCTTTTTGTACTGATTTAATGAGAAGTCTGTTTTTATCAGATAGCAATGCCTTCTTGCAGGGTGCATTTGCGTGGAAGATCTTTTTTCATCCCTTCACTCAGAATTTGTTTTTATCTTTGTCTGTGAGATGGGTCTTTTGGAGACTACAAATGGATGAATCTTGTGTTTTTATCCAATCTGTGCTTCTTTTTCTTTTGATTGGGGAATTGAATCTAATGTTTAGGGTTATTAGAGAGAGATGTGTCATGTTTCCTACCATTTTCTTAGGGTTATTAGAGAGAGATGTGTCATGTTTCCTACCATTTTCTACTTTTCCTGTATTTTGCTTCTTTCCTCTTCCTGTGCTTATTAAATTGATCTAATGATTTTTGTATGATATGTTTCTTTGATTTTGATCTTCTCTTCAGATTGTATTCTTCCCTTTGGGGAAGTTTTCTGTAATTATCTTACTAAATAGGTTTGCCATGCCTCTATTATGAAATTCTTTCTCTTCATCGATCCCAATTATATTTGATTTCTGGGCCGAGTCTGCCAATTCTTGGATTTCCCTTTGACTGAGTCTGTCAGTTCTTGGATTTCCCTTTGGTAATTTCTGAGTGTTTTGTCCATACCTTTGACTTCCTGTTCCAGTTCCTCTGTTTCATCCTTGCCTCTTGATACTCTGTTTTCTATTTTACTTAATCTGTTACCTATGGTTTTCACTGTGGTTTGCATTGTGGAAATTGAAACATTTATGCTTTCAATATCAGTCAGTCTTAATGAGGTATATACCGTGCCTACTTTTGTCAGCATCTCTTTTTGAAGTCTTGGAATTCCTTTGCTATTTCTTCCTTGTGCTCTTGAAATTATTATTGCATGTCCCGTATTATTCATTGGCCAATTCTGTCGTCATTTCTTTAACGGTTCTGTTGTAGTCCATTTTTTCTTCACTCTCACTGGAATTCTTACCTAGATTGCTGTTGGTTTTGGATTTGGTTTGTTGTCTTGATTGTCCATGAATCTTGTAATCTTTCCTTGTCATTTACGCATTTGGGTCCAGGGCCTGAGCGTGGCTGGGTCCTCGGGGCCATGGTCTTGCATGTGTTTTACGGCTCAGCCGCGGCCTGCGCAGTTCTGGGCTCCAGGCAGGCCTGGGCTTGGGGACGGGGGAGCGCTGCGTGCTCGCACCTGTCTGTTTCGCTGGTGGGGAGCAAGGGTCCCCACAGCCCTGGCAAAGGTGGAGGACTCGGGGTCCCAGCACCCGCTTGTATGAGTCCCCGTGGCCTCCGGCTGAAGCCCGTGGGAGCAGTGAGGCGGTGCTTCGTCCCCTGTCCTCTAAGAGTGCGGTTCCTGCGGGGTGGGGTCCTGGACGAGCTCTGGGTCGCCGCCAGCGCTGGACTGGACATCACTCTCCTGGACATCACTGTCCTGGACCTGGTGTGGGCTGGCCGGCGTGCTGTGGCAGCCCCGGATCCGCGCCCTGCTCTCCGCGCCTGCTGCAGGGCTCGTGGGCAGAGCCTGGGGCCGAGGGTGCTGTCAGGGTCTGGGGCCCAGGGCACTGTCCGGTCTGGGGCCTAGGGCTGAGGGCCGAGGGCGCTCTCCACGTCTGGGGCCGAGAGCACTCCCGGGGTCTGGCATCACGGTGCCTCGCCCCTGGGCTCGGGCTCGGGCTCTGTCTGCACTGTCCAGTCCTTGGTGTAGAGTTTTCTACGCCAGGGCTCTGCGGTCTTCTGGGGCTCCTGAGTCCCAGCAGCCTTGGGATGAGGAGGGGTCTTAGCGATTTTCTGCTCTTTTGTGGGCAAACTATGAGTATTTTTCATTTCATGGGATTCTCTGCATGTGTATTTGTTGTAGTCGATCTCTTGGGGAGCTGTGTGTTAGGACCCCAACTCTGGCTAGAGAGAGCTAAGGCAATTCCCTATTGTTTCTGTGCAGTCTTCCACCATTCACCCTAAATGCTTTCCAAAGGATCTCTAAAATAGATGGCTGCTTCTTATGCACCCTGAGCGCGCTTGAATACCTTACTCATTTAAGTCATCTCCTATCTTAGGATACCCTGCATGTACTCAGATTTAAAATGAGGCCTCACTTGGGAAGCACACAGCAGTAGCTAATCTTGTGAGTCTAGATGAATCAACTCCTTTTTTGCCCTCCTTTCCCACATCCCAATTCCATGACCGACTGCCATGTTTCAGTTGTTAAACAACCACAACAAAAACAAAACCCAGGAGTGACACACTTCAATTTCTCACCTCATATTTAGGTTAGCTTTTTCTTTCCTTGGTATTTCTTCTAAACGTAGATATAAAAATCTAATTAGACTCAGGCTCTGTTTTTTGTGCACGAATGTTTAAGCGGTGGAATATCACAGCTCTACTAATGAGAAAGTGTAACCTACTGGCCCACTTCTTTGGGAAGCTGAAACTGTCCACTTCTGAGTCCTGATCCTTCTGCTGATAAATCCTGCAGCTCTTCTGAGGAAACAGACACTTCACTGTGGTGTTGATGATGGTTTCCCGGAGTAGCTATTTCCTATGATGTGAAAACAAATAATTTTCAAGTTACATTCTTTCTATATTTAATAGGCATATCTATAAATGTCTTATGAAATGTTCAATAATTATTTTCTCTCTTAAAAACTTTCATGATAAAGGCGGTTTCCCAAATCTGTGTCTAATCAAAACCAAAAGGCTTCTTTTTTAAGCATTTGTAGTAATAGTGAATGTAATATACTCAATATATTTTACTCTTGTGGTATTTTTTCTTTTTAAATACCTAATTGTCCTCTTTGTGAGTATACTTTTTTTTTTTAAACAGCTCTATTAGCTGGGTGCCAGTGGCACATGCTGTAGTCCTAGCTACTCAGGAGCCTGAGATCTGAGGGTTACAGTTCAAAGTGAGCCTGGGCAGGAAAGTCCATGAGATTCCTATCACCAATTAACCACCAAAAAGCCAAGTACAGCTAGGACTCAAGTGGTAGAGCTCTAGCTTTAAGCAAAAGAACTCAGGAACAGGGACAGTGCTTAGACTCTTGATTTCAAGCTCCAGGACCAGCGCCACACACACACACCAGCTTTGATAAGGCTTTTACTATAAAATGTAACCATTTTATGTAATACTCTTTCTGTGCTCTTTTGGCTTAGTCTATTCCTTTAGTAAGCACAGTGAGTTTTGTTACGATATATTTATGCTTTAAGTCTTGATCTTAAATGTATCATTTCCCCTGTCAGATCATCTCAGACCTTGAGTCTTGGAATGATGAACTTTCTCAGCAAATGAATGACTTTGACACGGAAGACCTCACAATTGCGGAACAACGCCTCCAGCACCATGCTGACAAAGCCTTGACCATGAATAACTTGACTTTTGATGTCATTCACCAAGGGCAGGATCTTTTGCAATATGTCAATGAAGTCCAGGCCTCTGGTAAGAAAGGTGCTGCTGTCGGATAGCAGCTGTGAATTATTTTTGTCACTGGTAGAATTGAGGTTTCAGTGTGATGACTGCAGATTATGTAGCCATTTCAGCTATTATGGCTACCTGTTCTTTTAAGAGGAAATGTTCTGCATTTTATTTTATATAATATAGAAGTCACATTTAACTTTATGATTAGGAAACTTATTCATAAATACTTTCATGTATTATTTCCCCTGTCATGAACATATTTAAAAAATAATAGGTTTTTTCTGATGAGTAAATCCTAACAAATGTTTTCACGATATTTAGTTTTCCTTAGTTTATATTTTGCCCACAGATGTCACTATAAGCTCAGAAATGTAACTAGTGACAGGAACTTATTTTAAAATCTGTGTGTTTATTTTATACAAAGTAAAAATGCCACATGGCCACTAAGTGGCAAGTGGATTTATATGAATTCTCAGTATGTCTTCTTAAACAGTAGTTTGCTGAGACAGGTAAATACACCGCTGCTGGGATGGAACTCCTCCCACAATTGAGTAGAGCCCAGTGGGTGGTCATCCACAGCCAAACTGCATGTACAGTTTTGAACAGGTGAAGGTGAACATTGAATTTTAGGGTCTTCCTCCAATGTCCACAGGTGTGGAGCTGCTTTGTGATAGAGATGTGGATATGGCAACTCGGGTTCAGGACCTGTTGGAGTTTCTTCATGAAAAACAACAGGAGCTGGATTTAGCTGCTGAACAGCATAGGAAGCACCTGGAGCAGTGTGTACAACTGCGCCACCTGCAGGCAGAGGTGAAGCAGGTGAGCAAAGGGCAAAATGTGTGGAGGTGAGGATGCTTTAGGCCCTTGGCATTGGCAAGATGGAAATTCAGGCCTGTCAGTATCTGGGAGGATCTTCCCTGATCACAGTACAACTGCCTTACATGTAATATAATAGTCCAAACCCCCAATGCAATGATAAAATGGAGCCAGTGGCCCAGACAATGGCTTGTCTGCTGGGTAGTAGAAAAACTCCCCCTACCTGGCAGCTGTAGCCCTTGAAAATCATGACCATGAGGTTGTCTTGGTATTGTTGGTCTCTTTCTTGAGATCTTGAGCACATTCTTCCTAGGCTAGGAACTATATGACCCCCCCACCCCCGCAATCTGCCAGGATTGATAAAAAGCTGAAGCTTTTCTTATCAAGATACTATAATGCCATATTTACCAAGTACATGGAAGAAATAAAAATTGGACATATGAAAAGGATTGTTGGGGCTAAATGCCAAAGGGCTTCCACAGGTAAATGTTGCTTCTCATTCTGTGGGCAGAGAGTCTGCAGGTCAGCTGTTTCCAGCTGAGTCTGTGGTAGTCTGTAGGCACACAGCCAGCCAGCCCTGCTATGATGCCATCCAACCATATAAGATCTGTGTTGGACCATTTGGGAGTGTGCATACTATTTTATTAGAACAGACCCCAAACCCTTGTTGGTCTTTCCATGTTTGCATTTTAAGTGAAACAAAGCGTTGTAACTTGCCAACGAAGACTTTCTGTTGCCCAAACCAAAACTATTTAAGAAATAAAGGAATAAACTAGTGTTCCCCCTACAATTTGACACTGCTTGCAGGCTTTTTAAAAGAAAGGTATTTTTCCCTATGGAACAAGTCAATAGGTAGCACATGTTAATGTCCATTTGGTGGCCCTGTGATACATTAGGCCGAATCTTGGTTATAGGTGGCTTTTTTCTTGTGATTGCCCTATAGCAGTTGTAGTTCTAATCATCATCTCAATATCCAGGCTTAGGAAAGGGAAAACAAATAACATGAATGAGGTGGTTCCTGTGTCAGAAAAGTGATACTGTCATACACTCCTTGAAAGACTACAGCTTTGATCTCATGGGCTAGAATTATAATATCCTATAAATGAGTTGTACTGAAAAGTATTGTTTTTAAACCCACCACCTCTCCCTCCTTTCCTTCCTTCCTAACTTCCTTCCCTCCCTCTTTCCTTCCTTCTTTCCTTCCTTCCTTCACTCCCTACTTTCCTCCCTCCTTCCTTGTCTCTCTCTCTCTTTTTTTTTTCTCTCTCTCTCTCTGTTTATCTCTAGCTCCCTCATGCCAGTACAGGGACTTGAATTCAGGGTCTTGAACTCCTGGTTGTTTTTTTTTTTTTTACTCAAGGCTACCACTTGAGCCACATCTCTACTTTCTGATTTAGTTTTTTTGTTTGTTTGGTCAGTCGTGGGCCTTGAACTCTGGGCCTGGGCACTGTCCCTGAGCTCTTCAGCATAAGGTGAGCACTTTACCACTTGAGCCATGGTGCCACTTCCAGTTTTCTGGTGGTTAATTGGAATTAGAGTCTCACAGACTTTCCTGCCAGGGCTGGCCTTGAACCGTGATCTTCAGATCTTGGCCTCCTGAGTAGCTAGGATTATAGGCATGAGCTATCAGAGCCTGGTCCTGATTTAGTTTTATTTTTAAGAGGTGAATATTGTGTAGATAACTAAAGGTCTTGGCCTTAAGTAGCTATCCAGATTGAACTTCCACAATTTCTATGGCCTTTGCTGTCAGAATTGACTTTTCTTTTTGTGTGTGGACTTAATCTCCTGTTGAGCCCTGAGGGGTTTTTTTTTTTTTTCAGTTAAGGGGTAGGTTTATTCAGTAGACCTGCTGGGAAAGAGAAGAGAAAAGAGCTAGAAAAGAGAGCATCTGGGAAAGGTGGGAAAGAAAGCTAGGAAAGAGAAGAGAAGGAAAGAGCTAGAAAAGAGCAGAGAGAGTAGAGAGAGGGCATCTGGGCCTGGGCTAGGGTATGGGCAGAGAAAGGTGTGGCCACGTCAAATTCAGATGTGACCTCAGCAGATGCAGATGTGACCTCTTCCAGGTGTCCCAGTTGCCTAGGTAATGCAGGTACTGAGTGGAGACTTTGCTGCGAGGAGGGTGGAGTCTGCTAGCCATCCAGGAGCGGACCTTACATTCCAGCCTTTTAATAATCATGAAATAGGGCACAGATTCTCTCTGGCTACTTCCTGCTGACAAGGGGCATCGACAATAGGGGTAAAAGGCTGGAATTTGGTCCCCTCCCAGAGAAGGCAGTGAGCTGCAGCTGTCCCTTGGTGATTGAGTCCTTAGGTGAAGTCTGGAGAAGTCTCATGAGCATTGAGGGGCTGGAAAAAAAATACTAAACAGCAAATAAATGGCAAGAGGAAGGACTTGGGGCTGAAAATGTTGTTAGAAATGTCCCTAGCTACTTCTGACATCTGGCGAGTAGGTAGAGAAGTCAGGTGACAAAGAGCCCTGAGTTTTGTACTGCAGCTTACTCCACACTTGGTTTATTGTGCCCTTAACTGACATTAAATTGGAAAATAAGTTACTGAAGCAAAAAGTTACCTTTATCAAACAATTTGCAAATTTTGTATATTCATTAGGTCTGGAAATATTTGCAAAGAAAGGAAAAATCTTTCTCTTGAGCATCAAGGGATTCTTTGTGTTGGTATGTCTGCTAATATGATCTGCAGACTGTTCTGACCTATGTTCTTATATTAACAATCCAGTGCCCATCTCCCACTGACCACTAAGAACAAGACTGCAGTTCTTGTGGTTAGAGCCATTGAAGGAATTTGAACTGTCCCAGTGGAATACTCAGGAAACCAGTTTTTCACTATATCTGGGAGTCCCAGACCACCTTGCAAACTCACATCCCTCACTTATGTGCTACAGCATGCTCTAGAGAAGCTACCACTTGGAGTTACCCTGTGTTTCAGGTGCTGGGCTGGATCCGAAATGGAGAGTCTATGTTAAATGCTGGCCTTATCACAGCCAGCTCACTGCAGGAGGCAGAGCAGCTACAGAGAGAGCATGAGCAATTCCAGCATGCCATTGAGGTAAGACAGTATCCATCTCTGTCATCGCTTTGTTAGCCACAGACCAGCCTGCCATCTCCTAATATGGTACCCATCATTGGAGTCAGAGACTCCATTAGTAAAAATGACAAAAATCAATTGGTAATTCCAGGAGAAAGAAATAGTATAGCAACCTCAGGGAAGTGGTACTAGAAATCCTATCCAGTGATCTCATAACAAGGATACAAGTGGCTAGGATCCATCTGTCCTAATGAAAGGACCCTTGCAGGAAATACTTCTTTGATCAGGATTGCATTTAATCAGGGAGCTCAAGACTTAAATGGTCTTCTAGACACATTCTTGCTGTGTAACCAGCTTCAGAAAAGAGAGCTCTGGAGGTCTTACAGAGAACAGATGCAGATTGTAAATTCAGTAAAAGATGCTGCCTTCAAAACTCTTTAGGCCCTCTCCTTAAAAGTAGCATATTTCACCATGATAAGGGTTCAGGGTCAGTTTGGGCCAAACTATAGCAGAAGGCCTTGGCCACGTTAGTATGTATATGTTCACTGTCAACAGACACTAATTGTTTTTAGGATTGGTTTCTTTGAGGGTAGGACAAAGTTCTGGTGGGTGTTCTCAGAGTAAAGTTAAAAGCAAATAGAACAGTTGCTGACAGAAAGCTTGTTTCTGGCTCTACTAACGTGCATATTGTCAGTCAGATAAAAAAAAGTCACAGAAATCACTATATTCCCTAAATTAAATTATTTTCATCTACTCAGTGCCAGTGGACACACGTTAACACTTATTCATCAAATCCAGGCAGCTTTTGAAAACTTGATAAATATACTGAGCCAAGTATTTCCTATTAATTAAATTGAATGTTTTTTAAGTGACGTGTCTAAGTTTGAAACTATATATTATATTGAATGTTTTGTGGGATCCTTTCCACTAATTTCAAGTGAAATTGAGATTTTTGCCTCTCTTTTTGAATCTGAATTTATACCAGCCCTAACTGCTCCTTGCCTAGGGTACCCATTCTTTGTTGGAGAGACCTTGGCCCTCAGGCCCTGAGGAAGCTCGTTTTCTTCCCATAAGGAGATGTGAGCAAGACTGTTGCTGGTTTTGTCATCTGATTTTCTTAGATTTATTACATAGTAATAGAGAATGCAAAAGGTACATCCTTAGTTCTTCCTTTATATATTTCTTTTCTTTTAAAAATCACTGGTTTCTTAAAAAGTTTTCACTGGAATCTAGAGCTTCATTTAAAAATGAAAATAAAAAATGTTCACCCTGGCCTTGTTCCCATTTGTTCATTTTCCTCCAGCTTCTATTATAAGGACCAATAGAAGTAAAAAAAATTGGAACATTTTAATGGGCTTTTTTTTTGAATATCACCTGTTAAATGTCTTTCTGCTGTTTCTTGGCTAAGAACTTCACTGCTAAGAGTCATTCTGTGACTAATTCATCTCAGTTGTGCCTAGCTAATAGAATTTTTCACTGGATTGGATACAAATCATTGTAGAAGCATCCTAGTGAGTATTAACTAAAGTTGATTCTGTAAAGTGAAGAACATCCTGGTTCTTTCAGTCAGCATATGACACCTGGCTGAATAAGCCTCCTGTCTTCTTTTTCCCTAGAAAACACACCAGAGTGCCCTGCAGGTGCAGCAAAAGGCTGAGGCCATGTTGCAGGCCAACCACTATGACATGGACATGATCCGTGACTGTGCTGAGAAGGTGGCCTCACACTGGCAGCAGCTCATGCTCAAGATGGAAGACCGCCTCAAACTTGTCAATGCTTCTGTTGCCTTCTACAAAACCTCAGAACAGGTCAGGAGAGAGATTCATTCCCAGCTGACATTTTACCTTGATTTAAAGGGACAGCTCAGTCATCCTGAATATGCTCATTCAGAGCTGGGGGTTTAACCTCAGCTGAAGAGCGCCTACCTGGCAAGCCCAAGGCCCTGAGTTCGATCCTCAGCTCTGGAAAAAAACAAACAAAACACTTCTGAATATGCTCATCCACATTGAACCAGTCAGTTCAGAGAAAAGCAAGGAGGACACATCCTAGAATTAGAATTATTCTTGCTACCTTAGGTATCAAGGAATAATGGTTGGAAAGTAGTTGTGAAGATATTTTCTTTTAAATTTGTGATCCGAAACGTATCAGAAGGAGATAGGAAATTTAGCTTTGGTTTTGTCATTTCTTTGAAATGTCTTTCTGCCTCCCTCGATCCTTGCATTTGTCATTAGCCAGGGAAAGATCATGGCTCTTTGATGTGTTCTTGGTAAAAGTACTTCCAGTGATATTGATCACATGCTGTGGGCGTAGAGCTTGGAACTTCTTCCTCTTGTAGGTATGCAGTGTCCTTGAGAGCCTAGAACAGGAGTATAAGAGAGAAGAAGACTGGTGTGGTGGAGCTGATAAACTGGGCCCGAATTCTGAGACAGACCATGTCACTCCAATGATCAGCAAGCATCTGGAGCAGAAGGAAGCATTCCTGAAGGTATGGAGCTGACAGGAGTGGGTACTGGTACCACACTATAGAGATCCATAGGGCCCACTTGAGGGTTGTAGAGCGTGCCATGTCTGTTAGCTAGGATCAACACCTGCAGCATGGACATGTTCTTGTGGCCAGTCACGGTAGCCCCCATACATTACCTTTCTCACTTGTGTGGAGATTGATGGGGTAACACCACCAGTGATAAGCGATAAGATAAGCTTCAATCTTTTTTCCATGTGAGATTGTACTATCTAATTTTTGTGAGGAAAGAAATAGAAATCTTGACTGTAATACTAGCTACTCAGGAGGCTGAGATCTGAGGATCACAATTCAAAGCCAGCCCATGCAGTAAAGTCCATGAGACTCTTATCTCCAATTAACCACCAAAAAACTGGAAATGGCACTGTGGCTCAAGTGATAGAGCCACTTGCCTTGAGCCAAAGAGCTTAGGAACAGTGCCCAGGCCCAGAGTTCAAGACCCATGCTAACAAAAAAAGAAAAGAAAAGAAAAAAAAATAGAAATCTGTGTAGATAAGGATTAGTTGATTCTCACATTCTGCACATTAGCAGGATCCCATCCACCAAGGTTCATTTTGAAAGCTTTTCCTAAGTAATTCTGGAGACAGGAAGAGAAAGTGACTAGTTGGTTGGTCAGTTGAAACTCAGTGTCTATATTTAATAATAAACTTCCTTTGAAATAATTTCAGCCTCTTTAGGGGGGAAATCAGGTTGTATCTCAGAAGAAAAAGCATAGGTGTGGCACATGTGACTTGCTCAGAGGATTGATGTATACTTAGGAAATACTCCCTATGAGAGTCTATCACATTCAAACTGGCTGTATGCTCTCTAAGAAAAGCTTACATGAGAACTTTTGAATTTTCAAGACTGCTTTGTCATAATTTAATAAACATATTTACTCATACATAAGTCGGAGTTGGGCTTCAAAAAGTGGTCAGAATATTTAGAAATATTTGACACTAAATGCTTCCATACTCTCAAACTCTTTAAAAAAAGATCTTCTGAGCTTCTGCTTGATTCCCCAAATTGGACCTGTGAAAAATAGGGTGAGATGTTTACTTTTCCTGTTACTTTGTGAAGTTTAGTTTTCACATTGCATTAACATTCTATCCCCTCATTTATCATTTCCTGTTGCATTTAATAAGTTTTTGTTTCCTTTCTGAAGGCAATCCTCTGACAATTATTTTTACACTAGGAAACTAAATTGTGACTCTCTGCATCTAGCAATTTATTTTATGCTTCTACCTTAGTGGTTTTCTTTTTAAAGAAGTTAGGTGGGAAAACCATTGTAGCCTCCACAATTATTAATTGTAACGATCTCAAACAAGGCCTTAAAGCCCCTACCGTCACCCTGTTAATGTGACTAAAGTTTACTAAATGTCAACCACTGTTAAATATTTGGGTTGGAATCACTTGCCTTTCATGCTCCAGAATCCATTTAGTAGAAAAGAAAAATCAATTAATATAATTAGGGAAGATATTTAGGTAAAATTACAAAAAAAAAATAATTGTAATGACTTGCAGCTGGAGGCTCATACCTGTAATTCCAGCTACTCAGGAAGTAGGGAGATAGGAAGATCAAGATTTGAGACTACCCTGGCTCAGAAATACATGCCTGTGGCCTCACCTACTCAGAAGGCAAAGGGAGGAGGATCTTGAACCAGACTCATCCCAGACAAAAGTAGAAGACCCTATCTAAAAAACAAACTAAAAGCAAAATGGACTTCAATCACAGCCTATACTTAGTGGGCCAACTTCCAACACCCAACTACTGGCTTTTGCATCCATGGAGTTTGGTGTCCCTGAACTAGGCCCTCATGGAATCTTCTGCACATTAATGAAATTATTTAGTCCATTCTACTACATCAGTACATAAGCCAATTAAGCTATTATACAGTAACACAAAGTAACCAAGTACCTTAAAACACAATGGTTTAAACCAGGGATTGGCTAACTGAGAAAAAAAAAAGCTAAATCTGAGCATATTTACACATTAGTAGCTGTCAAGAATGGAAAGTGTTTACTCTCTGCCCCTTACAGAAATCCATGCACAGACTATCTAAGCCTCCAAGCCCGGAGTTTTTGGTAGGTCCTCAGTCAAGTATCGGATAGGGATGCAGTCATTACCTGAGGGCATGGCTGGGGAAGGGCTCTCCTTGCTCTCTGGCTTCCTTCATTCCCCTGCCTCTCAGGCTTATCCATAGGGATTAACTTCACAAAATATTACTTTAATTGGAACAGGATTTAACGTACACATTTTTTCAAACAGGTTGGCCAGATGACATGCACTAAATGACATATGTACTAAAATTCATGTCTCTGTAGATCACATTAACAATTATTATTATTTCTTAGGCTTGTACGCTTGCTAGAAGGAATGCGGACGTCTTCCTAAAATACCTGCACAGGAACAGCGTGAACATGCCAGGAATGGTGACACACATCAAAGCTCCAGAACAGCAAGTAAAAAGTGAGCACAAGACAGGCTTTGAGTCTAGGGCTTCATTTTATTCTTCATGTCATGTTGGTGAAGTCCTCATTAATGGTATCAGCTTACTAATAAAATATAAAAGAAATATATAGGGGCTGATAATAGATTGAAAAATGTACAAAGAAAATACAGCATTCAGGTTGATACTTGACTGATTCTTAAAGTAAATGAGCATATAAGTAAGGAAAAATGAAAACTATAGTGTATATAGACAAAATATTTTGAAAAGATAATTGAAGAAGTGTACCAATAATAGTGCTATAAAATGTTGTCAATGTTGTATACCTATGGTATGTTTAGCAAAAAACAAATTGCAAAATATTATATAGTTTAATGCCATTTAAGTACAAAAATCTATGAAATAATTTTATTTATTTACGTATAAATGCATAGAACAAGTTCTGGGAAAATGTATACCAAAGTATATTGTATGTATGGAAAGGTAAATAAATAAGGAAATGGGCACAACATAAATAACTACCTTAACCAAGGCCACATAACCAAAGTTGAGTTTTATAAAGGGGAAAATTTGTGATCAATTAACAAATGATTGATCTTACACATTTATAAAAATAGATACAGCAAGCTTTATACATTACATTTTACTCCCTATTCATCTTATTTTTCTGTCTCACTAGTGTAATCCAATCCTTTAAGTTCTATTAGCAAGCATTATTCATCTGAAAGATACTTCTGAGTGATACCTATCTTGTGTGTTACTTAACACCAAATTGCCCTGTGCTATGGTTGCACTCAGTAATACAGTTATTTGTTCCTCTCCTACTCTCCAGTACAGGTTAGTATCAGTCTTTGCCCTCATGGTTTAAGGCTGATTAAACATGGATATGTAGTGACTATGTTTTCAAACTTGTGTACTTCAGGGCTGCGCCTATAGTTCAGTAGCCAATCCTGTGCTTATTAGTATGTGCAAGGCCCTAGCTTCATTCTCCAGCGGAGCTCCTGTCCCAATAAAACTGGGCCTCATATTTTATATACTTCATTTTATTAATGGATCATTAACCTTTCTTCTACTTTATATAAAATACATTCTGTGTTTTACATGTTCCTCATAGTTTGAGGTTTAGGGTTTTTGTTTTTTTGTTTTTTGGGTGTGTGTGTGTGTATGTGAGTGTGTGTGTGTGTGTGCATGCATGTGTGCGTGCGTATGTGCATGTGTGTGTGTGTGTGTGCCATACTGGGGCTTTTTGTTTGTTTGTGCCCATACTGGGGCTTGAACTCAGAGCCTACGCACTGTCCCTTAGCTTTTTCATTCAAGGCTAGCATCTATCACTTGAGCCACAGCTCCACTTCCCCTTTTTGCTGGTTAATTAGAGATAAGAGTCTCACAGACTTTACTACCCTGGCTGCTTCAAAACTCAATCTTCAGATCTCAGCTTCCTGAGTAGCTAGGATTACAGGTGTGAGCCATAAGCTCCCAGCCCCAGTAATTTCTTCTGGCTTTTTATGTCATATTTTGATGGTGGGCATGCATGGGTTTGCTTATGACATTTTTAGTTTTTCTACATTAAGAATTTTTTCCTTACAGCTTCATGTTTCTCTGCTTCTTAGTTTCTTTCTTTGTGCCTTTTTCACTCCATAAAGCTTTGTTGAAATCAAAAGCTTTGAAATAAAGCTTTGGAAACAGAAAATGAAATAACCACAGCAAACAAAAGCACTTGTTTTCATCTAGTCCTCTACCATTTTGCTTTTTCTTTCCACCCTCTCCCTTTCTCTTTAACATATCCTCCTAATCCAGCCAACCTGTGTTATAGACTGGACATAAGTGTCCATTGCTGTTACAATCATAGTACATTGCTATGGAATTTGCATAAAAGTCTAAAAAAAGTGAGATTTTTTTCAGGTTTCTTAATGGATAGTAAACACCAACATACAGCTTTTCCTTTTTTCTCTCAGATATCTTGAATGAACTCTTCCAGCGGGAAAACAGGGTATTACATTATTGGACCATGAGGAAAAGACGGCTAGACCAGTGCCAGCAGTACGTTGTTTTTGAAAGAAGTGCCAAGCAGGTCAGCAAGTTCAGCTCCCTCACCTCTACTTCCCCTCATGTTCATATCAGATAGGCAGACTTTGTCATGAAAGCCATCTCAGAGACCTCTTTCAATGTCCAAACAATCTTGCCTTTTAAATAACTGCTTGTTGTAAAAACAAGAATCTCACATTGTGGTAAAAGTATGACACTTGGTATTTTTGACCTTCAATAAGAGTGCTTGTATAGTTTCCTTAGCTGCCTTTACCTCGCATTTAAGAGAGGCAAATACAAGTAATAATTAAAATTTTTACTTAAAAATATTGTAAAATCCTTTGTCCTGTGATTTATAAATCAAGATTTGCTTTTATATTTATTTATTTGTATGTTTAAGACAAGTTTTATTTTTCATAAAATCAACCTCAAATTAAGTTCAAATTGTGAAAGAATTTCTAATAAGTCAAAAGCTTTCAAAGGTTCTTGCATGGCTGAGACACAGCTATCAAAGGGGTATATTAGGTGTATCCCCTTCTGAAGTCACTGGGAGTAAAGTGCTTTTGTCAGGATCATTAGTCATGAAAAATGGTTGTAGGATAAAGTCTATTTACTCTGTCACTCCCTTTGGCCTTCATAGTCAGACAAGAGTATGTATACTATTCGTTCATAATGAGGGTGGGGAATGGGAAGGAAAATGCAGAAGAGAAGGCGTACTTCTCCAACAGCTATGTCTAGGGAGACAAGGCCCTAGCTGGAGGCTCACTTGTCTTGAGCTGTCTTCTAAATCCACATTTGACACTCTCATCATGGTTTTTATACTTAGGAAACAGATTCATCTCCGTTTGATGCATTAGTCTTACAGGGCATTGGGGCAGAGCGGACTTGCCCAACACTGCTTCTTTGCCCTGAGTTTGAAAGACTAGTGTTTATTGGTTGTGGGTCTGGAGCTCTGGTGGCCTTTCTCTCATCTTGACTGACTTTACCAGGTGCAGTGCTTACGTATCAACAGTGAGGTGAGAAGGGTGGTGTTTTGTAAATGTTGGATTACATTTTCTGAACTTGTAATTTAAAGATTGTTCAAACATACTTCAGAAATATTAGAGGACTGCTTTGGTTCCTAACTAGAAATTGTTCTATATTTTTTCACATATATCTTTATTAACTGTTGAAAGACAAGGTATTACTTAACTGAGGAGAAGCAAAATGCTAATTGTCTTGGCATAGAAGAGAAGCTTATAGTGTTACTGATGATGATGACCCATTCATCCTGCAGCCCTCCCAAGTTGTGCTCCATACCACAATCACTACACTCCAGTAACTTCTGCTTACTGATGGCGGCCTTGAGATCCCTCACGAATTTTATAGTTCTGTCTCTGATGGAAGTATTGAGAGTGACTTGTCCCCACACACATCCGGCACTGCCTCTGGACATGTTCTTCCTCTTGGGCATCTCAGGCCCCTCTTATCTCTACTCTGAATGCTGCCTTTCTCTGGGCTCAGTTTGTGCTGTTTTTGTTTCTCTTTCCATTCTTTTTATCTCTCTCCTTGGGGTATCTCTCAGCCCTGACCTTTATTCTGGTCTTCAGGGTTGTCAGTCCCAGGTACCTCCTTGACATCTCTCCACTTTGACTTGAACAGAAGCAAAACACCAGAAGCCGCAGGTCCCTGCTCATGGTACTCGTGTAAGAGGGACCAGGTCTGTTGTTGTTATTCTTGCTTTTTCCTTGTCCTCCCACTTTTACTTCTTTGGGTCTGAGGGATGCCAACTTCAGAAGTGTCTCATCTCTGCCTTCCTCCTCTCCATTGTCTTCAAATCTGGACCTCTGCTCCTTCCACTAAACTCCACTCCAATTTCTTTTCTACATAGTAGCTGCCTTTGCTTTTCTAAAGAAATCTATGTTCTGCCTGTGACCTCATAGCCTGTGCTGCCCTCCACAGCTCACTTCCAGCCTCTCCTGCTTTCTTGCTTGTGTTAGGCCAAGCTTGCTCCACTCACAGCCATGACATGTACTGATCTCTCTGTTACTCCTCAGCCTCAGGTCCTCACCTAGACTGTTTCCTCGACTTCCTTCTGATATGGTCTTTTAACTGTCTTTGCCATTGCAGCTGTCTTCTGAGAATTTCCTTCTTTGTCTTCCTTTCTGATCTACAGGGTTAGAATCAAGGCTTCTATTCTTGGCATCGACTCCACAGTATGTGCTTGGGGGAAATTTGCTGCTGCATGGAGAAATTGGCAGAAATAGCCTTTGTTCATATCAGTATTAATACTGATTTAGAGATAGGATAGCCACAGTCAAGCATGACAGAAGTAAAATGCCCAATCTGGAAGCTAACGTTCCCAGTGAGTTACAATTTACTTTCATTTTTGCTATGAAAATGCCCCAAACACTGGATATTTATCATTGTAAGGTTCATAGACCACTCATTACTCATATCATACCTTCTCTGTATTCTTGAAAAGGCATCTTGGTTGTGGTTTCTTTCACTGTACTATTAATCTGCCCCTAGAATAGTTCATGGTTATAAGAAACTGTTTATTGTTGCAACACAAAGTGACAGGATTATTCTTTCTCCGGTGTACAATTTTTTCACCTTTGGAATTTTGGTTCTCTACCATTCAAAAACCATGTCTCTCCAAGGGGATAGCTTGTGTGTGTGTGTATACAAGGTACTCGGTAAGTTTCATTTCCTCTTAAACATGTTTCCATCCCTTCCCTTGATAGGCTTTGGAGTGGATCCACGACAATGGGGAGTTCTACCTTTCCACACACACCTCGACAGGCTCCAGCATACAGCACACCCAGGAGCTGTTGAAAGAACACGAGGAGTTTCAGATAACTGCGAAGGTAAATTGCTCCTGGAGTGGACTTTGTGCAGTGGCCTGGAGCCTACTTAGATTTTTCCAAAACAATCTAGAACAAGGCACTTCAGGTAGGTGAGGTATTTCTCAAAACCATCTTTGAGAACACACTGTGAAATCAGAGAAACAGGATGGGCAAGGTGGGTTGTTAGTATGAATAAAGTGTTGCTTCTTCCTCCTTACCCCAACGCTTTACTTATCTTTGTCACCGCCCCTTCATTTGTGTCCTTTTGTCCTTCTGATTCCTGTGAACACGCCTATCTCCTCTTTTTATCTTCATCTTTTATATTATATTTTTTTTCTCTTCTTTCTCTCTCTGCCATCTCTATTCCCCTTTTTCCAAGTTACTTTCTCGGCTTGTGTTTTGTGAAACATTCTTTGATGATGACATCTTAACTTTTATGTATTCTATGTTGCTCTTATTTGTCTTCAGTTGATGGAAATGTCACAATAACATCCCTTCACTTCCATCACTCATGAGGTTGTGTCTGTTTTATGACTGGCAGTTTGTGTCAGTGTCTCTCTGGCTAGATTTGTGATCTTGGATTTGTGATCCTGGAGACATTGTCTATTTACTGTTGAAAAGAAAAATAGAATTAAATATTAAATGCAATTATACCTGATGTAGGTGTGAAGTATATGTGAATATATAACAATGCTTGATAAGAAATGCACTCATTACCTTGCTCATGTAACTGTAACCCCTCTGTACAGTATTTTCACAATAAAAAAATTTTTAAAGAAAATATGTAGGATTACACACATCAACTTAAATAATTCCCCAAAGCACACACCTGCAGAGATGGATTGTTTTTTTTTGTTGTTGTTTTAAGCTCAGAATGATTTTAAGCTCAGCCTGTGGTGTTTTTGTTTTTCAGAATTTATAAATGAATATTCTTTGAAATATTTTTAGAAATGACTCTAGTCTTGAGTTTTTATAAGAATCTAAAAATTATTTCTAAGTATGGAAAAATAAATGATCAGACTGGATAAAATACTGTGGTATAAAAAGAGTGTTCTTATAAAGTAGCAACAATTATTACTTTGTATAGCCCTTTGCCTGGCTTTGAAAACATACTAAACAGGAATTTTTTTTCTGTGCATTTTGCTTTCTGTGACCATTTCTGACACCCATTGTTCTTCACTACTCTGCTCCCTATTTCCTAGACTGTATTTCCACATAGTCCTGAGCCTACTGGGCTCTGGAAATCCTTTTTCCCTGTTATGGAGAATTATCTGGTAGGGCTACAGAGAAACTCGTGCAATGAAAAGCCTGACCTTGGGCAAAGCTACCCAAAGAACTGGGGAGAGTAAGGCTCAGGGAAGCCAGGAACAGTGGCCACTCCCAGAGGTACACAGGCAGCTGATCTGTCCTGCTCTGCAGATGAGGAGCCTAGCTTTTCCTTCTATTAGATACACGGCATTTACCAGTACTACAATTTTTATTTTGTTAGTATTTATATGAATAAAATCTTAGTTATATGTGTATTGTAAGATTTATATTGGTTTCTTTGAATATCTTTTGATTATAAGTCATTAAGAAATGTCTAAAGAAATGCCAGCCACCAGTGGCTCACACCTGTAATCCTAGCTACTTAGGAGGCTGAGGTCTGAGGATCGCAGTTCAAAGCCAGCCCAGGCAGGACAGTCCGTGAGACTCTTATCTCCAGTTAACCACCAGAAAACCAGAAGTGGTACTGTGGCTCAAGTGGGTAGAGCGCTAGCCTTGAGCTGAAGAGCTGCGGGACAGCACCCAGGCCCAGAGTTCAAGCCCCAAGACTGACACCCCCCACCCCCCCAAAAAATGCCTAGTGTAGCACCCAGAGCTAGATTTAAGATTTGTTCCATTACATCTGGAGTCCATAGGAAGGCTCAGTAGTCAACTCACTGCACAACTCTGAAGGCCCTATACATAGAACATGGCATTAAAGTGCTATCTGATAACATCAGTGGATAACTAGTGGAACATGTATAAAAGACTTCCTTCCCCCATTACTCCTAAATGTTTCTTTCCCTTACAGTGAGGATGTGGATGTGATTATTGGAAATTGAGGTCACAATAGGTATATTTTTATTCTTGTATTTTGTAAGAAATATAAAATTGTATGTAATATCTGATCTTTCTCTCCCCAAATATAAATAACTCTTTCATTTGTCAGATCTCTTGGACTACTTATGTCAGGAAGAACTGGAAAGTTTGGGTTTTTTATTTAATTTTTATTGTTATTATAATTTATATATAAATATTACATATTATATATAGTATATTGTTATGCACAAAGGAGTTACAGTTACATAGGTCAGGGAAAGAGTACATTTCTTTTGGGATAATGTCACCCCATCCCTTACTTTATCCCAGTTTTTTCCTCCTATCATCACCCACAAGTATATAGTTTATTTTCAACACAGTGTCTTAATGAGTCCCACTGCTGCATTTGTCCACACTTTGTCCTCCCTTTTTTTTTTTTTTTGGGTAAGCCATGGGGCTTGAACTCTGGGCCTGGGCGCTGTCCCTCAGCTCTTCAGCTCAAGGCTAGCACTCTACCACTTGAACCACAGTGCCACTTCCAGTTTTCTGTTGGTTTATTGGAGATAAGAGTTTCACAGACTTTCCTGCCCGGGCTGGCTTTGAACCATGATCCTCAGATCCCAGCCTCCTAAGTAGCGAGGATTATAGGTGTGAGCCACCGGCGCCCGGCTATCCCTCCATTTCTGTGCCCCCCCCTCAAAAGATGGATAAGACAAAAGAAAAGAAAACAAAGGCAGCAGCAAAGGGAAAACCTTGTTTCTGTTTCCTGGAGTTCACTTCAATAAATATTTAATGTGATCAGATGCACATAGGCATTGCATCTTGTGTTCTGCTAAGATTATCATCCTTTAGTCTCACTGTGTATGTGTGAGGTTTGTTAAAGAGCACACCTTCCTCACTTTTTTCCCTAGCAATTTGTTTTCATTAGTTTCCAGCTGCTTTTCTCAGAATCAGAAAGCACCTACTTTGGTGTTGGAAGATATAATTTGTTTTTTCATGACAAGGAAGGGTTCTCCTACCTACTCAAGAGACTGAGACCGGAGGATCACAGTTCCAGCCTAGACAGGAAAGCCATGAGACTCTTATCTCCAATTACTTACCAAAAAAAAAAAAATAGGGAGGAAAGAAAAGATGGAAGTGGAGTTGTAGCTCAAATAAGAGATAGTACCCAGTACTGGCAGAAGCTATGCACTGTGAAAGAGCTGAAGAAAGATGGTGAGTCTAGACTCAAGGGTAAGTTGAGTGGATTTGAGGCCACAACGATCTTTTCTGTTAGCCTCATTTCAGTCAGGTCTCCACTGCCACTGTTTTCTGGTTTCTGACAGTTGGGTTCATTTGCTTCACAATACTTTCCTGTTGTTTTTTGCAGCAAACCAAAGAGAGAGTGAAGCTATTGATACAGTTGGCTGATGGCTTTTGTGAAAAGGGGCATGCCCATGCAGCAGAGATTAAAAAATGTGTCACTGCAGTGGATAAAAGATACAGAGATTTCTCTCTGCGGATGGAGAAGTACCGGACCTCTTTGGAAAAAGCTCTCGGGATTTCTTCAGATTCCAACAAATCGGTGAATTACTTCATACGTACTCATCAAATCCTGGTCTTCTCCCTAGTGTCACATCTGCTGATTTAATTAATTGACTTCATTGACTCATTCTAGAGTAAAAGTCTTCAGCTGGATATCATCCCAGCCAGTATCCCTGGGTCAGAAGTGAAGCTTCGTGATGCTGCTCATGAACTCAATGAAGAAAAACGGAAGTCTGCCCGCAGGAAAGAGTAAGCAGTCTTTAAGAGTTTGCCAGCATTGATTGAAAAAGTAAAGGAAATGTATTGGCACAAACAGTCTTCTGTGTATGCTCAACAGTTGAGTGGCTCTGAAACTTGCTTTAAGAGTACTTAGATTTTACAGTACACACTGTCCCCTTATCACCTGGGCAGTGTCTTAATTTGTTTCTCTGTGCCTCTCTTTCCTTTGAAGTTGACAAATTGTCTCACATTGGTAGAAGAAACTAATAACACAAATGTAGGTTTTTATAAGTTGCCAGCTAATTAACTATAGTGTATATAGGGCAAAAGATTGTTCTACTTAGTGGTTGCCACCCTGAGGCCCTTTTGTTCCCTGAGATGTTTGGCAGTATGAGAAGAGAAGAGCTTTTGGTTGTCACTCATTGAAGGTGTACAGATGCTATCCAGTGGGTGGAGACCAGAGCTATTAAGCAGCCTACAGCCATGCCATAGAGTTATCCTATCCAAAGTCAGCAAAGTTAAGAAACCCTGACCTGTGGCTATGTTGATAAGATATTTTCAGAAAACTCTTTTCCTTTGATTTGGTTAGTTGGCACTATTCTTCTGTTTATCCTTGGTTTACTTTTATAAAACCATTACTTTAGTCCTAGAACTTTAGTGCTCTCCCTCTTATTTCATAAATTTCCATAAAAGGACCTAGAGAATGAAGCATGCATCCTAGACCGAACTAATTTATTTGTTGTCTTACTTTGTTTAAGGTTCATAATGGCTGAGCTAATTCAAACTGAAAAGGCTTATGTAAGAGACCTCCGAGAGTGTATGGATGTAAGTAGGTCCTCTTTGTACTTTTTTAGATTGAATTTAATGTTGCTGTTTTATTGCTACCTATTGGTGGTTCTTATTATGGGCACAGTTTAGAGTTCTTTTCTTCTCTTCTGTGACATTCTAGGAGTGCTTGTAGCTAATCACAGAGATGACACAGCAGTAACTTCTCATGCTGGGCATCACATGATGGCAGGCTGACATTCTCTCTGTACAGAATGTTACAGCAGCTTCAGAGAAGTATGCCTGCTAATTATGATGCCACTGAACTCAGTAGTGTCCTAAATGTTTATGATACAGCTTAATCCCCAGATTTGTAGTTGGGAATAAGTTTAGAGTAAAAAGAATAGAAAGTCTTCTCAGGAATTAATAGCAACTGAAGATTTTTAAAAAATAATTCTTTGTGTTTTAGGAAACATTTCATTTTTTAAATTACATTTATTTATGCATTAATACTGAGTGTATATTTACAAGTGTTAAAATAGCTGTCTTTTGAAAATTGGGTGTTGAGTTTTGTTTAATCCCTGTTGTTTCCTTCCTGGCCAGACCTACCTGTGGGAAATGACGAGTGGAGTGGAGGAGATCCCACCTGGCATTGTAAACAAAGAGCTCATTATCTTCGGAAACATGCAGGAAATCTATGAATTTCATAATAAGTGAGTGACATTAACTTTGGAGAGTGATTAATCTTGAAATCTTGACAGTCTGCTGAAATTTCATCACAAGAACTAAGTTTTCAGTGATTTTTGTTGAAACTTGAATGAAGCTTTGTAAGTACTTCCTGCATCATAAGGAATCATAAGGGGAAACTGAAAGTATGTGCAGGAATGCTAACTTCTCTCAAGTCACTGAGTAGAGGTATAGGATAAGAGAGCTCCCCAGTGGCCTACATGCAGGCTGTTGGTTTTATTATACTGCTGCTTTTATTATAAGAGGGAAGGGGAAACTGAGGAAAGACCAGTCTGCTGACTAAAATCACTAACACTTTCCACCACCATAGGCAGTGCCTTATTTCATTAACTTTTAAAGTTAGAAATTTCTTTGACACAATAGTTACACATTTGTGAGCTCAACATGACATTTTCTTTCATATGTATATCCGGTAGTGGTCAACTCAGTGTTTATCATGTCTGTCTTCAACTTTTACTCTTTCTTTATGGTGAATGCATTCAAATTCCTTTCTTCTATTTGAGATAACAATGACTTGTTATCCTGTCATGCCATAGAACACCAGAACCTACTCTTCCTATGAGACAGTAGCATTGTTCCTGTTGACCTCTCTCCCCACCTCAATCCCCTGTACACTCCCAGCCTCCAGTGACCATCAGAGTATTCTCACCTTCTGTGAGATTAGCTTGTCTGTGCCTTGCCTGTTTTTCCTGACATAATGTCCCCCACAACTATCCATATTGTGACAAATGACTGGATTTCTTGCTGTTCTAAAATTTTTGATAATTCTAAAAATCTATACATAACAGGGTTTTACATTTTTTATAAGTTTCACTAGTATAATGTTTTTAAAATACCTTCTTAATATGATAATTTTTTATTTTCAACAGCATCTTTCTAAAGGAACTAGAGAAATATGAACAGCTGCCAGAGGATGTTGGACATTGCTTTGTTACCTGGGTAATGAGGTTTCAGCTGCTTGTTCTTTCTCAGTTATGTGGTGACAATGAAGGAAGTTAGAAAGGATGCTGCTCATTTCTTTAAGTGCTATCTTCTGCTGATGTCTCTACACATACACAAGTACACTTTACCTTATTCACCTACTAGCTGGTACTAGGAAATGAGTTTTTGTTTTTATTTTATTTTATCTCCTGGAGATACTTGTGATTTATCTTAGTGCTACACACACTTGCTCTGCAGTGCTCTATACTTGATCTATACTGCTAGTCCCTTTTCTTTTAGCATGTTCAACCCTCTTGACTCTGTCTTCCAGGTAGTCAGGATTACAGGCAAAAGTCACCATGATTGGCCCTTGAATGAGTTTTTAGGGGTAGTGGTGATGATTTGAAATAGAAGACCATTTAGTGTGCTCTGCTGCTGCTTTAGTTCATCCATAGATGATAAGGGAGATAGGCTAGCAAAGACCTTGAAAGCCTATAGCCAAGATTTATGCAAACTCCTGTGGGCAGGGGAAGGACAGGTGCCCAGCTGACTTGCCAAGGGAGAGGGCCTTCTGGATGTGTAAGGCAGTGTAGCAGAGTGTGCCTCTTAGTTCAATAGCTTTGTTTCTTAAAGTACATTTGAGGCTTACATTCCTTAATTCACATAGATTATTTTCTATACACAAGATTTTCATACTGTGACTTGCAGTTTGAATTAGGTATTCTAAAAGGTTGTTTGTTTTGTGCTTTGTTTTTGCTGTAGGCAGACAAGTTTCAGATGTATGTCACATATTGCAAAAATAAACCTGATTCTACTCAGCTAATACTGGAACATGCAGGGTCTTACTTTGATGTAAGTAATAGATTTCTAAAGAAGCTGTGAAAATTTTCAGGTTGTCTTTAGTATACATAAATGAAACATTACTCATAAATTTTATTTTCATTTTTATATTTTATGCTTATTCTGGGATATTTTTGTATTATTATTGTTATTATGTATTTGTGTAAAGGAATTGTAATTTCATAAGTCAGCTTACAAGAACAATGCCTCTTGGTCAGTGTCTCCCCTTCCTTCATTCTCCCCCATTTTCTCCCTCCTGTCCGTACCCTCAAGTTACATAATTCATTAATTATATAATATACATTGAATACAATGCATTTGCTCACCACTCCTCCCCCCATTTTTGTGCCCTCTCCCCCTCTTTGCCCACCCCCCAAGACATTTTTCCTCTTCCTGGTATTCATTTTTACAAAGAGCACATTAATTGTTCAGAGGATAATGCCTTTGAATTTCCCCTAGGTGTACTCTCCTTTAGTAAGGTTTTTGTGTGTAAATGCATTGTGCCTTGTATGTTATATATATACAGTTGTATTTTAGATCTCGATTTCAGAGAGAAACATGTGCCTTTTGTCTACTGAGCCTGGCTTACTTCACTTAATATGATTTGTTGACTTTGCAAATGACGTAATATTCTTTTTAATGGATAGGCAAAATTTTATTGTGTATATGTAAGATACTTTATTAATCCACTCACCATTGTATGAACTTTGGGCTAATTCCATAACTTGGCTATTGTGAATAGTGCATATGTTGGGATATTCTTATGTCTTCTTCACTTTTAAGAGCTCTTACTGACGTAGTGGAATTCAGGTTTTCTATATATGTTTGTATGTATGTCTGTCATACCTTATGTGTTGTCATGAATTGTTTCATATAACATGCATAGAAGGTATACAGTATTAAACTGCCTTTTGTCCTCTATAAAGAAAAATAAATTTTATTTTTTCTTTTTTTTGGTTGGTTGTAGGGCTTGAATTCTGGGCCTGAGCACTGTCCCTTAGCTCTTCAGCTCAAGGCTAGTGCTCACCACTTAAGCCACAGTGCCATTTCCAGCTTTTTCTGTTTATGTAGTGTTGAGGAATCGAACCCAGGGTCTTATGCATGTGAGGCAAGCACTCTGCCACTGAGCCACCTTCCCAACTCCAAATTTTTTAATCATTTTGCTTTCCTATTTTAATTTGACATGTTATGATTCTCCCAAGATTATATACACAGTCAGACTCTAGAAGGATACCCTTAGATGAAGACCTCAAAGGCTTAGCTCTTCTGAACATTTAAAATACTATTTATCAAAACAAATTCCAGGAAATGGAAACATTAGTTTTGGTGGTGGTAATGGTAGTCATGATGGTGGTGTTTGGTTTTGCTTTGGTTGTTTTTTGGTTTTTGTTTTTGTTTTTGTTTTGTTTTTTGTCCTTTGAGTGGAAAGGTGCATAAAGCGAGGGAGGAAGGGCAAACAAATAAATACAGTCATCATATTCAATATACACTATGTGGAAAATGAACTCTACAACTTGTGGGCAGGAATGGGAAGGGGAAACTAGGGGAAAGTGGAGGAAGGGGTGACATTGTTCAAAATTGAAATATAAAGCCAGGTGCTGGTGGCTCACACCTATAATCTTAGCTACTCAGGAGGCTGAGATCTAAGGATTGTAGTTCAAAGCCAGCCCAGACAGGAAAGTCCATGAGACTCTTATCTCCAATAAACTACTTAGAAAAGGCTGGGAGTGGTGTTGTGGTTCAAATGGTAGAGTGCTAGCCTTAGGCCAAAGAAGCTCACTGGTGCACACATACACACACACACACACACACACACACAGTGTTGTGGTTCAAATGGTAGAGTGCTAGCCTTAGGCCAAAGAAGCTCACTGGCGCGCGCGCGCGCGCGCGCACACACACACACACACACACAAATAAAATGCACTCAATACCTGACTTACGAAATGGAAACCCTCTATACAACACCTTAATAGTAACAATAAAATTGTATTTTAAAAAAGGAAAAAAATATGAGACCTACCCATTTTAATTATCATTCTTGTAAATGTGAAGCTCACTCCCAGCCAAATTTTTTTTTAATATTTTACTTGCCCTTTATCAGTGGATGAAATCCACCACCATGGTTATATTCAGACTTCGAATTATTTAAAGCCTTAGCAACGTGTTTGTGGTACATTTAATGTTTAGAATCAAAGACATTCTTAAAACCTTTGTCCTGGAACATGTCTTTAGTCATATTAGTCTTGACATGTCACAAGTCATATACCTTCAATACTTGATATTTTATTTTAAAAAGAATCTTTTTGGTCTAACATTTTTCTGTTCTCCTTCAGTTGCTTTTCTCTGGCATCCAGCATTACTGAAGACCCATTGGTTGATCCTCTAACTCTGTGTTCTGTTATTGATTCTCAGCATAGAGAATAATACAGGCAGGCTTCACTACTTTTGAAGGAATCCCACCTCATGTATAAATGACATGTTATGTGGACCATGGACCAATAATATAGATCCTCCTTTACCTTCATACTATTCTTCCCTTTTCCTGACTAAAGTTTTAGAAACAAAGAAATTTCTGTTAATATTCTAATAGTCTTTTAAGAAAAGAAAACTTTATTGTTTCTGCAGATTTAAGCAATTGTCAGTTCTGTGGAAAATCAGTGTGGAATTAACAGCCATTCCGTTAAATGATATGACACTCTAATAAAGTTTGTATTTCATTTGTTAAATACAGGAGATACAGCAACGGCATGGATTAGCCAATTCTATCTCTTCCTACCTTATTAAACCAGTCCAGCGAATAACAAAATATCAGCTCCTTTTAAAAGTAAGTATGAAGCATCTTCAGCCTGCAAAATTCCATGAATTGTATATTACTGTTTTGATGGGGATTTTTCTAAGTCTTACCACCCTGAATTTTTGGAACTAGCACTTTGCAATTTAGTTTGTTTCATTTACAACCATTTCTTACTCTGGCTAGTTTCTTATTGAACATTCCTTGATTGTACACCTGAAGTGCACTGAGTAGTCCTTCTCTGTAAGTTAAAAAGAAATACTAGTGTGCAATTGTCAGGTTTTGATCCTGTAGTAGCCCTAGTCCCCAGCTGTAACATACTGACTATAAACCAGGTACTGTGCTCTGCACTTCGCATATAGTAACATACACCAATGCATCTATAACATAGAGACCAGCCAGGGAGCATCAGGAAGGTGCCCAGAATCACCATTGATACCTACCATCCAGGCTCAGCTTTGAACAGTTTCCCATTAACCTAGTTACCTGCCTCATACACTTCCCTCTGCCTGCTATTCATTTGTCACACACATGCTTTAAAGAATATGCTCATACTAATCACAGATGCTTAAGTCAAGTTGACCTCTGTTTTTCCTTGATTGTGAAAGATTATAACTAAAATCACACTTGTAAAAACCCAGTAAGAATTAGCTTCAACAATACAGAGGTTAAGAAAACTTGTCACAAAAGTATTACATATTATCAATACATATTTTCCTGACTACATAAAAGTCATTTACAGTTTCTGCCTGGTAATGTACCATAACAGTTCTTTGACTGGTGAATTTTAATAAACATTAAAATACAAAAAAAAATTAACTTCAGTGACAGTACTTTATGATCCTGCTATTTTTCTGATGCTATCCTGAATTGTCCTGAATGAATTTTATACTGCAATAAGACCCCTTATATAATAAGAGCCTTACCCTTATTTTAATAAGAAAAACCTAGAAGGAAGTGGCCACACTCTTTCATGCAATACTATTGTGGAGCTTTTCTATTAGGAAAATGCTTTTGTATTTTCTTGAATTTTCCCGTAGTGCTAGGGATCAAATCCAGAGCCTCATACATTGTGGGCCCTACACTGCACTTCTTTCCCAGTCCCTCTTTTGTACTTTTATATTCATGTTTTATTCAATGATACTATTATCACCAGAGAACATGTTGTTATGAATGTAAGTCAGGATCCCAGTATGATTACATTCAAATTTTTCCTGTGCTTTCTAAACTTCTAAAAAAGTGTTTTATTGTCCCCTAAATTTAAGGATTTTGTTTTAGTATGTGGCTCTGCTAGCTCATGCTTCAGTTTCTAAACTTTTATTCATTTTTCCCAGATGTTTATTAAGGGGAACAGTCATCAAACTCCCACATAAGGAAAGTATTCTACCTGTGCAGATAGTCTCAGCCAGTTGAGTTTCAAAGCTGTTTTTTCCCAGTTGCTCAGAATGATAATCATCTAGTTATAAGTAAAGGTGCTTATTGGATAACTTGAGTTAGTCTAAACTATCCATGCTAAGGTCAGAGATGGCCACAGTATCCTATTTCCCTTCTATTAATTGTTAGGACTCAAAAGACTGTTGTTACTGTTACTGACTAATCATAGTCAGTAATTGACATCCAGGTAAGAAACATCTCCAAGTCCACCAGTATGTGAACTTTACTGTTCTTGCTATCATTTATTTAATAATACATGTTCTTCTTGATAGGCTTGAAACAGAACTACATGTACAGATACTTCAGAGCTATCACCCATTAAAACTTTCCTAAACATCCCATATGCCAAGGAAAGGTGTTTGTCCATAGTGTTCATGCTTGTTACCGTTCTGCTACACAGTATGGCTGGTCCAGAGTAGATAGGCATTGCTTCAGTGATACTAGAGTTCAGAATAATTTAGTGATACATGCTCAACATGGCAGTTGGACTCTAGAGTAGCCATCAGCTGTAACCAGTTATGTGTTGCAATACTAATACCTTGCCCTTTTTGAGGCTTAGAGGTTGACATGTATCCTGATTTCACCTTGAGTGATGACATCATCTAGTTTACTCTGATTTCCTCATTTGAGAAAAACAAACTGAAGCCAGCAATTCATTATTAATGAATTTTATCTTGAAAACCATGGGTTTTCATAGACTCCTTCATTTCTGCAAAGATCATGTTGGAAGGACATTTTACAGTTCTCCCCGGGTTCATTGTTTTTTCTACAGGAGTTGCTCACATGCTGTGAAGAAGGAAAGGGGGAGATTAAAGATGGCCTGGAGGTGATGCTCAGTGTGCCAAAACGAGCCAATGATGCCATGCACCTCAGCATGCTGGAAGGTAACGAGGCTCGCCACACCCCTAACATGCATGTGGATGGTCTCTGCTAGTGCTATTGAGAAGTGGATTTCCTGATCTCCCAGCCTGAAAAGAGCTGCTCTCTACTGTGTATTCCCGTAGACCTTGGTGACACTTGCCTTGGGCCACCTAGTCTTTCTGTTAATGGAGGCATAGACGGACAGATAAATCAAAACCAAAATTATGCAAGTTAAAAGAGCTTCTCCCATCTCAGTATACATTGCTGAGCTTTAGAGACAGTGGGCACAAAAACTTGCTCATGCAGTTCTATTTGATGTGCAGTATGGTAAAGATAAATAAGATTAAAAATTATAGCAATTTTAATTTTCATGGGTGCTTCTAAATTTCTACAGATGACGATTGTGTATTTAGTAGAACATCACAAAGCTTATATTTATCAGATTGCACAGTATCATTTGTAAGAAATAACCCAAATATTGCTAGCCTATGTCATTTCATGGGTAACAGTGAGCTATATATTAGTCAGGGCCTTCAATGCCAGGCAATATTGATTATTCTTTCTTTGAGCATATAGCACCTTTTCATGATGCCACCAAGGGTAAGAACTATGGTCCAGTTCATTTCTCTCTGTCCTAGATGTTGTGTTCTGTTGTGCTTTCCCAGCAAGTTGGGAAGGAAGATAGGTAGAACACCTCTTGGTAGGCAGAGACTACTGGTTGTACACATTGCTTCCCTCACTTGCCCTGGGGGGGCGTGCGCCTGGCTCTTGCAACTTTAAAGGGGTAAGGGAATAACAGTGCTTACTTCTGGTGGTCCTAGCCAGATGGGATAACTCATACCTATAATCCAAGCTACCTGGAAGGTATATAAGTCAAGAGGATAAGGGTTCAAAGAAGCCCAGACAAAAAGTTAGTGAAACCCCCACTTTTATCACCAAGCTTGATAATATGTGCCTGTGATCTGAGCTATGAGGGAGGGTATAAACCCTACCTGAAAAATAACTGAAGCAAAAAGGGGCTAAGGGTTTGTTCAAGTGGCCTGCTTAGCACCTGAAGACCTTGAATTCAAATCCTAGTACTAATACTCCCTTTAAAAAGGGGGAGGCCAAGAGGGGTTTTTTGCTATAGACGAGAGAATGGAAGCAACCTGTGTTCCTGGTGATCATCTCAACAATAAGAAAAGCAGCCACCAAAACTCATACATGGCCAGGGCAAGGCTAACTTACATATAGTGTTCCAACTTACACAGGATAGGTGGACAGGATATGGTTGTGTCCAACAGGAGAAAACAGACTGGGGCTTGAACAGATGTCTGGAAAATGTGTTTATGCTGAAGAAGCAAAGAGAATAAAGACCCAGGCTGGAATGTAGGTATCATGGAGGAATACTGTAAGGGATGAAGAGTAGAAAGTTCCAACAGGTATCAAGTGGTGTGAATTTTAACTGAAGAGTGAGGGGGTAGAAGCTAAAGAAAAAAAGCTACAAAGAAGCACTGAATTTTTTAATATGAGAAATGTATACAGATTAGTGTTTTAGGAAGAATTATCCTTTGTAAGACAGATCAGTGATGCAGAGTAGAGTCAGATGGCCAACTGGTCTGAAGTCTAATCAATGGACATTTTACAAGTGTTGCAATAATAATAATACTTGCATGATTTCTTTCTTTTAATTGGCTTGCCTACCTTTTTTGTTCATGTTTGTAGGGTTTGATGAAAACATTGAGTCTCAGGGAGAACTCATCCTGCAGGAATCCTTCCAAGTGTGGGACCCAAAAACCTTAATTCGAAAGGGTCGAGAGCGACATCTCTTCCTCTTTGAAATGTCCCTAGTATTTAGTAAAGAAGTGAAAGATTCCAGTGGGAGAAGCAAGTACCTTTACAAAAGTAAATTGTTTGTAAGTATAGGTCTTCAAACTTCTTTTTTTTTTTTGTATTTTTTGTGATTTAATAAAAAATGTAACATTGTTCTGGATACTTGACAATGATTTATTCTTCTTGCTCTTTAAAAAATATTAATTACATTTTCTAATTTTTGGAAACCCACTGTGTTGTTTTTTTTAAAAAAAAGGGTATTCAAACTTCTATGTCTTCAAGTAACACAAGTACAACTTTTGTAAGTGGAGAAAAATTAGTTTGTTTTCTTCAGTTTAATCTCCCAGACTGTTCTAAACTTCTTGTCTTCAGTGAAATTCTCTGTCCCCCCCCCACCCTTACCCAGCGTCCACTAGAGGGCATACTGGAGTTTCATTGACTTAGGAAACCAAAAACAACCCCATAGCACCTAAGTAGGATATGAAAATATTTTATAATTTTTTCTCTCCTGTGTGCTGCGACTAAGCTTTCACTTGATGTAATTAATTTTTTATCTCTAAGCATTAGAATATATTGAACTATAGATTATTGATGTTTGATTTTTTCATTAAAAATAAATATATAAAGTAAATGTACAAATCTTCAGTTCTCATAATAGCAAAATATCATTATTAGAGATGCTATTGCTAGCAAAAATAAAGTTTGAAAGACCACATGCCTTCCCTATATGTAGAGACTGTCCTCCTGGAGTGCTCCATTAATGGGTAAAATTCCTATCTAACCTGTCAAAGTGCTTCTGGTGGAAAGCATGCCTGCTGCTACCCTAGCTCTGCACTGGCTGGCCCACCCAACCACCTCTACAAAACCACACAGAGGCCAGGCTGGGTAGAGCCATGCCAGGGAATGTGGGGTTAGGGGAACAGAACGGGAATCACTTAAGACTGATGAAAGGGCTGGGAAGGTGGCTCAGTGGTAGAGCGCTTGCCTTGCATGCATGAGGCCCTGGGTTCGATTCCTCAGCACCACATAAGCTAAAAGAAAAAAGCCGGAAGTGGCGCTGTGGCTCAAGTGGTAGAGGGCTAACCTTGAGCTGAAGAGCTGAGGG